GGAGGATATATGTACATATTTGTTTATATAAGCATGTGCTATGGTCTGAATGTTTGTGTCCTTCCAAAATTCATGCTGAAATCCTAATCCCCTAAGGTGATGGCAAATTGTATTAGTAAGAGGGCATTTGGGGGGTAATCAGGTCATGAGGGTGCAACCCCCATGAATGGGATTCGTGCCTTTTATTAGAAAGACCACCGAAAGCTGCTCACTCCTTGGATCATGTGAGGACACAGAGAGAATGTGCCAGCTATGAACCAGAAGAGGGCCATCACCCAGCCATGCTGGTGCCACAATCCCAGACTTCCTGCCTCCAGAAATGTGAACAATACATTCCTGTTGTTTATACGCTACCCAGTCGGTGTTGTTCAAACAGCCCAAAAGGACTAAAACAGCATGCAATATCCCTTAAAAGGACATTTAAGAAAACTGATAACACTGGTTGCCTCTGGGAAGAGAACTCGGAATGTAGGAGGACAAAATAAGGAGAACATTCATTTTTATAACCTTTGAATCCCTTGAATTTTGAAACACAAGGATGTATTATCTTCTCATACAAAAATAAATGGAATTTTAATTTTTAAAATTCCATCTACAGACACCATGGCTCCTCCATCTCTTCCTATCATCTGCCAACGCAAGGGAGGACTCTGGCCCACAGATCAGGCCCCTTTGCTTTAGGCAGGCTAGTATATCCCACTGGTCCACACCCACACACAGAACTGTGTCCTGCCTCAATGCCTTTGTTCACGCTCTTTTCAAAAGTGTCTGAATTCTTCCTTGCTCGCTCCCCTTCTAAACCATCCAACCCCTTTGGGGCTGTTTAAATTCCAATATCTCCAAAATACTTTCCAGAATCCTGTAATCCTGGCCATCCCACACAGAATCCATGTACCCTCTAACTTTTTACTTATCTGTAACGTGTATATCGATCTTATAACTGAATTATTTTTAACAGCAAAACCAAACAAAAACTGTGTAGTCAAGAATAATTTCTGCTGAAGGAGTGATTACCACAATATGATGCCATTAGAATATCAAAAAAACTGAAAACCTGATCACATCCTTCCTGATGAAAATCTTTCAGTGGTTTCCACTGGTATTAGAACAAAGTCAAAACTTCCTAATATTTTTCATAACACTCAAATCTCCCAAACCTCCTTCCCTTACCACTTCTCTTCAGTTTCTCAGACCTGACATGTCCTTCCTCACCACCGGGGCTCTCTTTATGGTGTTCCGCTACCTGGCCCAGTCCTCTCCTATTCCCAAACCCCTTTCCTCTGGCTCAGGAATCAGTTTAAAGGTCACTCCTCTTGAAAAGAGTACGGAACTGACAGGTATAGAGGTGGGACAAAGACCTTTCATTAAATATCCTTTTGGTACCTTCTGACATTTGAACCATGGGAATGGATTACCTTTCAAAACATAAATGAAATAAATATGTCACTTCTTCCAGGAAATGCGTGACTCGCCCTGTTCTGTTCTCACTCAGGCAATGAGCTACTCGTGCTGTGTTCATGCTTCTCTGTACTTCTTCTGTAATAGCCTTTATCACACTTCACTGTAGTTGCTTATTGCTTTACAGATAGATTATCAGTCCTATGAGGACAACAGACATTATCTATCATTACCATTATATCATGAGAAACAAATGATAAGTTAACAGTTTATAAAGAGTAAAAAGGCTTCTGGTCCAGCAGTCCTCAGTGACAAGCATGACACATATTCTGGTGTTCACATGCACCATATCCTCATGTGGGGATACTCAGATTCTTATGAACCAAAAAGTAATAAACACAGTTTTGTGTTTTGTTTTTGCTATTATTTAGAAACAAGTAAAATCAGCCATGTAAGTAGTTTTAAAATACTTTATTAAGGAAAATAAACAGTATATTACTTAAACTTTGTTCTTGAATTAACCTTGATTTATTTGACCTTTGCTTCACAAATAATTTTAATAGGATGAAAAGTTAAAAAGCACTGAAGAATGTAAATAAGGTTCTGCAACCATGGCTGGAAGCTCTAACAAAATCTGATTACTCTGGAGCCTACAATAGTTTATAGTAAGAAAAAATCAGATTAGTCCTACAGGCCTTAGTGTTTCTAAAAAATTGGCAGACATCAATTTTTGGCTGCAAAAACAGGCTGTACTTGAAGACAGCACATATGGATCCAAGGAATTCCAGGAATGAGCAATCTCAGAACTAAGTCTGGATTCAGGGTCTTCCCTACAAAGATTCATTTTAATCCTGAATAATTCATGAACTAGGTAATCTCATCCCTGACTCTGTCAATGAGGTGGCACCTGCTATCTCAAAACCTGTTCAATGGCAAGGTTCTAAAGGTCACACTTCAAATATCAGAACTAAGGGGCAGGGCAGTATCAAAATGCAACACCACAAATGAAGCCTCTGTAAATATTCCCCCGACAAGGTGCAGTTTATTCACCTTACAGCTTTTTACACTTTCTAAGATTCCTTTATACTTTTCTCTATAATGTAAGGTGAATTAATAAAAAGAATGACATCAAAAAGAATAAACACATGAGAACAGCACAGGATCTTTGAGAAAGAAAGGTAATTAACCAAAAAAAAAACTATAAAGCCATAATGATTCAAACTGCAAGGCACCAGCACAACTATGGCAAACTTAGAAGATAAAAAAATAGACAAAAATGGCGAATAAATTAGTACCATAACTATTTATTGAGAAGTTCATACTTTCTACAATGCTCTGAAGTGGCACCTCTGTATAAATCAAGTACACACACATACGCTCCTTCCTTCTTCAAAAGTACATTAGCTCTAATTAGTTTTTTTCTTTTCCATTCAAATTTAGAATCAGCTTATCATGCTTTCCCCCGCCCCACCCCGCAAAAAGCTGTTGGGATTTTAACTAAAATGCCTTCAATCTATAGGTAAATTTGGGAAGAACTGACATTTTTAGGGCAGTCTTCTTAATCCTTAAATGTGGTACATGTCTCCACTTAGTTAAGTCTTCTTTAAAGTCTTTCAGAAGAGCACATATTGACTGAACTGCAGTTTACATCAGTGAAAACAAAAATTATTTGGCTAATAAATGATGATCTCTTTATGTGCCTTTTTTTCCTCTAAGTCTTACTATTACAACACAAGCCATGGTACTCAATGACAATTCCTCAAGGATTAAAAAAAGGTCTCAAAATTTGTTGATGCTATAGCTCATCTCCAGTTTGACCTCTCTCCATCAATTCACAGACACCTTTAATTTTCTAAGGATCTCAGAAGCAGTAATAAGTTGCCACTTGACATAATATACAACTCACATGCTATCACATAAACTGCAAACTAAGTTAAACTTCTAAGGCCCAATCCAACTGTATCTGAAAGTTACATATTAAAATTTATTGCCAAAATATATGAACAGACAAGTCACAAAAAGATCAATAATCCTTACTCCTTAAACATATAAAAATAAACATAACCTTGATCATTAAAGGCAAATTGAAACCATAAAGACAACATACGTACACACACACGCGTGTGTGTGTGCGTATGGAGAGAGAGAGGGAGAGTTTTGTTTTTTTTTTTAATTCACCTTCATAAGACAGAGACAGACCTTCCAATCCTGAGGTCAAGGGAGAGGGGAACTATAGACTTATTTGGCACCATTATATCATTTTTGTTACTGAAAGTTGGTAAAGTAAAAGAATTACGTGTTTATCCTTATTTAGTAATGTCATATAGCAAGAGCTCTTCTTTACAGAAGTCTACTTAATAAATGGAGAATGACCAAATTAGAAATATCGCCGTTTTGTTATCTCTTATGAAATAGGTGATTGAGACTAAAATTGTCAATGGACGCTAAAACACATGCAAACCTCTGATTAATCTTAGGACAACTGATATAAAACCACACATTTTCTGTATCCTGATATAATAAAAAGCACATAGCATCATTTATGAAATAACCTTACCAAAAATGTTTAACCTAAATTTTATCAAGCCTTTAAATCTGACTTCCAGTTTACATAAAGTACAAGAAATGAAAAAGAAAAAAAATTACAAGATATAAGAAACAATTAGGTAAACCGAAAAGGTGCAACATTCTACAGAAAAACTGACCCAGTTCAAAAAAAGTTATCAGCATGGGGAAAAAACAGTGGCAGGGGTTGGGTGGTATTTCACAGAATGCAATATCTCCCAGAAATAAAAAGGAATGAAGTATATTTGTATGCATGAAAAATGATGTATGCAGTATTATCTGTTATAACAAAAGATTGAGTCTACGGCCATGCCACTCTGAACATGCCCGATCCCGTCTGATCTCAGAAGCTAAGCAGGGTTGGGCCTGGTTAGTACTTGGATGGGAGACCTCCTAGGAGGACCAGGTGCTGTAGGAGTAAAAAACAAAAAATAAGGAATTATAAGCTGACAAGGTCTTGCAATCTGTGAGGTCAACCTCGCCTAAAAAAAGAAAAAATCAAAAGATTGAAAACAATCTAAATGTCCACCAATAGAAAACTGATTAATATATTAATATATCGTATGAATACTCTGCAGCCATTTAAAAAAATAAAGCAGTTGCACATATGCTTATATATACAAGATATATTTTAAGTACTTTTGGGGAAAAAAGCAAGGGACAGCAAGCAAAAAAGAAAAAGCAAGGTATGTACAGTATGCTAACTATTTGTGTTTAAACAATTTTATTATACTACATGAGATATATGCCTAAATAAGCTTGTACTATCATTAGAAGGATTCAAAAGAAACTGCTACTAGAAATCATCCCTGGGGAAGGGAGGTGGCTGAGTGGGAGAAAAGAAAGAGAAAAACTCACTTCCTACTTTTCAGCCTTTTGGATTTTCCACTGGTACACATATGATAAATAGGTGGACAGATGGATAGATAAGACGGACAGACATACAGGACATTATTATTTATTTATTTTTAATGGGAATACTGCATGAGTTTATGAGGCCCTCTATATGAATTTTCAATCTCCAAGTGATCTCTTACCTGCTGGTTGGTGCAGAGAAGGAAAACGAGAGAAGCTGATTCCAGAACGGGTCATTCTCTGAAACAGATTCTGTGCCTGACAACTTTTTTAAGTACTCATTTTTAGGAAGATCACTGATTCTGCTGCTGTTCGACCCCATCTTCTAATCTGGTAGATAACTTGTCCTTAAACCTTCATTTCCACACGACAACCTATAAAAAATGAAAAGAAATTTCATAGTTGTTCAAAATAATCATACTTTTCCTACCCTTGATCTAAATGTAAAGAACTGTAAACTTACTAAAGGAAATAACGCATTTCTTTATTTTTAAATATATTAGACACCAAATACAAAGTTACAAGGAGAAAAATGGGACTGACATGTATCTTAGCCAACACAAACACAAAAATCAGAATCAATGCTTGCAGACCTTAGAATGGGCACACCTCACTCCCCTAGGCAGCAACAACAGGGTACTATCTGCTGGGAACAGTGAAGGCAGTGCCCAAGGCAGCTGAAATGCCCGGAAGGAACAAGTTCAGCTAAGCGAAGGCTAGCCACTAAGGTACTCTTGCCAGAAAGTTTCATCTGCACCCTACCCTCACAGAAAGCAAAGTAGAAAACAGAAGCCCAATGGCATCACTTCTGCAATGATTCATGCCAAGAATTCCAAACACACACAACCTGGACCCAATTTATATGCAACTCTCAAGGCGCTTACCAATGAAAACGAGAATAAAATGGAACTTGAAAAACCTGCTATCTAACCACCTCACCTCCTAAGAGTCCTACCGCTTTTCCCTCTCACCGTGCCTCAGAACACTTCTTTGGCTTTCAGCCTCTTCTCTATTTGTCAATAATTGAGCCTACCTCCTGGTTTCACTAGTAGCTTCCATGATATTACGGTAAAATCTCTCCTAGTCCCAACCTCTGACTAGAATACCAGCTCTATCTATAGCCCTAAAACTTAAGGTTTTTTTAACTCAAGGTTATTTTTTATTTATATGTATGTATGTATGTATATGTATATATGTACATATATACACACACACACATATATTACATAATACATAAGCAATAATTTTGTGTATAACGATGCACCTTACAGAAGTCTGTACTAAAAATGAGAAGCATGTTATTCCTGAGGCTTTTAGTAGTAAACCGTTCAAAAGACCTATCTTTAATGCAATGTAATCAAGAACGCAACATGTGCAAAACTGATTCCATCCTTCCTTCCAAAACCAGTTTCTCTTCTCAACTTCCCACTACTCCCCTAAAATTCCCATTATGTAAAAAACAGCTTGAAATGCTATTTTTCTGTAGTACTAATAACATCTCTCCTGAGGTAGGTAGATTATTCCTGAATACTAATTCAAAGTAAAAAAATTTTGTTCAATAAATGGATTGTTCTCTCTTTACCTGCTCTCCTTCAGGCAGGATCTGAGTGTGATTCTAGTTTGGGCTTTAACCTCTGAGTGACCCCAGAACTAACATTTTGTTCAGACTTCTCAGTCAAAACCCAAGCATATATCTTTACTTAATGGACATTTCAATTTGATGTCTTATCATTTTAACATTTGTCCCGCAAAAGAAGCAACCCTTCCAAAAAGTCACTATTTTCATCAATGTTATATCAACATTCTTGGCTCAAGTTATCTCACATAACCATTCATTCCATAAATACCTATTACACACTCACTGTAAGAGCTAAATGTTATGAAAATGCAAAGATGAGTAAGACCAGGTTCCTGCCATTAATGAACTCAGAGCCTATTTAACACATATGGTTAAGTATCACGATAGAGTTATTTATATACAAGAAGCTATGAAAATATATAGGAGCATCGGAGGCAGCGAGAACAGTATATGAAATGGCACTTTTACTTAGCCAATTTACTTATATGCCAGAAACCAGTCTAAGTAATTTACAATTACTGATTCACTTGTCCCCATTAACAATTTTCAGAGATGGTCACAATTTTCTCATTTTACAGATGAGGAAACTAAGGCACAGACAGGCTAAGTAACTTCCCTAAGGTCTCAGCGATGATAAGTGGCAAAGCTAAAATCTGAACCCAGGCAATCTAATTCTAGACTCTCCGGTCTTTACCACTCTGCTAGGATGACTCTCCAATGACACTGACAAGTCCTTTGGGTTCTTCTCAGCATCTACAATTCTACATACCGTCTTTCAAATTGGTCTCTTCCTTTATATTCCGGCTGCCTCCATGCTAGACAGGCTTCTGTAACCTCATATGACTTAGTGCAACAGTATCCAGGTTTCTTTGTTTCCAATCTCTCCACTTTGATTCACTTTGCTCACTCCACTACTGTATTATTCTTTAAAAACAAACAAACAAACAAAAACAGGCAATTCAGTCCAGCGCTGCAATTAAGACCAAAAGTTCTAATGTGAGAAAGACCCTACTAAGTCTGTGCAGAGTCAGTATGAATCTCCATTTTATCACTTAAAAAACCTCACTGTATAATGGGGAAAACAACAGTACTAACAACTCAAGATTTTCTGAGGTTCAATAAAGCAAGATGGTCCATGCAAAGCACTGTGTAAAGGACTTAGCACAGAGTATGCTTACCCGAATAAAAGGGAAAAGATAGTTTATTTTTAATATTAGTAAAAGTACCACTTCCATCATTTCATTCAGCAGCTCAAAAACATTCAATGATTCATGACCTGAAAAACAGAACACTGACATTCAAGACCCTTCGCAGTTTGAAAGGTCACTTTCCAACTTTATTTCCAACTACCCTCCAAACCAGTGGTTCTCAAACTTAAATGTACATTTAAAAACACCTGAGGAGCATGTGGTTAAAAATGCAAATGTCTGGGCCCCCAAAATTCAGAATGTCAGGGTAGAGCCCAGGCATCTGCATTTTCTAGAAAGCATTCACAGTAATTTTGATACAAGTGGTCTGTGAACCTCAATTCCTGCCTTCACACCTGCCTTCCACATTTGTCCCACAGCATCTTAAACTGTATTCACTAAGCAGAGTGATCTCTTTTCTTTCTCTGTAATCCTAGGATGCTCATTATCTTCACCACTCACTTGGAATGTAACTACCCTTCTAATAATGCCTTGTTGTGCTGTCTGATTCTTATACTATTATTTAACTTTTCAATCAGTCACTTCCCCCAACTCAGTTTTACCATCATGGGTGAAAACAACACTTTGAACAAGAAATTATATACTCGATATTTTGTATTTTGTGAAATATTTTATATATACATAAAATTAAATATCTTTTTATATGTACTGATTCACTGTCTCCTGATTTAATACGCCTTAAATAGAAAGTAAACATTAGGAGATCTGAAAATCCATGATATTCAAATTCTGTCCTCACGCTCTCAAAATATGCAAATGATACCCTAGTACACTTTGTCCCAACTTAGGTTGAAAATCCATCCATAAATCACACAGACACAACACACATACATGCACATCATCTGTAATCAAGAGACTTTAAAGCGAAACCTCATAGTTGAAACAAGACACCAGAGAAATAGTGGGCAATGGTCACCAGCCAAAGGCCATGTTACACACCACAGGTGCCATGAGTCCACCAAGCAATGGAACATTCCCTAAAAGGTTACTATGTTCCAAGTGCTATATTAAGTACAGTTGAGTATTCCACTCCAGTGAAATGAGAGTAATGAAAATAAAAAGATATAAGCCCACAAATACAAAATCAGAGGTGTGGGAAATAGAAAGGTGACAGAGGGTGGTAAATGAAACAGCAGAGCTGAGGACATCCCAACTTAACTATCTGCCAACGGGGACACTAACAAGAAGCAAACCAGTCCACCCCCATGGAACTCTAGGAAGGCAAAAGAGCTGGAGAAAACACCATAGAAGACAGGGGCAAGATGCAGGGCTAACACCTGTGCGTCTCCCCCTACCACCGAGTAGGAAATCATGCGTGCTCTCCAAAGAAATCTGACTGGAGCCTGGACTCTGAAGCCAAGGCTGGGAAGGGTAATGAGGTGGAAGATGAAAACAAAAGCATGAAGTTAAAGTGTGCTTGCTCTAGTTACACAGTGGGTTTCCCAGCCTCCGAGGCAGGAGACTGGATGATTCATCTCAAGAAAAACTGAAGGGGGATCCAGGGAAAAGATACAGATATTTGGGACTAACCCCATTTAAAAAACTGGGTAGCCACCTACAGCAATGCCCACCACTCAACAAAATCCACTCACAGAGACAGCTTATCAATTTTGGGAGTCTCGTTCTTAAGTAAGAATGGACAAGCAAAAATGATTACACTTGTTTGGAAAGACTCTAACGTGAAATGAAGAAACCAAAAGAAATCAAAGAAAGGAAAACGAATGATTCTGAGAGAAGAAAAAATTAAAAACTAAAATATCCTCAGGGAGATAATAAAAACAATAAAGGTAAACATTCTGTAGCAACTGCTATGTCCCCAGGCCCTATTCTAAGTGCTTTATACATACTGACTCATTACATCTTTACCACAACCTATGAAGTAGTGGTATTCTTTGTTTTTCTTATTGCCTGGATCATGGGTTAGCAAATTATCGTCCAAAGGCCAAACCCAGCCTGATGCCTGAAGAATCATTTTTTATATTTTTACATGGCTGGGAAAAAATAATTGTGACATGTGGAAATGATAAGAAATTAAAATGTCAGTGTTCATAGTAAAGTTTCATTAGAATACAGCCATACTCATTTGTTTGCATATTGTCTATAGAGGCTTTTGTGATATAACAGAGTGGAGGAGTTGAAACAAGAGACCATATGTGGTTATTCTTATCCACTTATACTGCTATTCAACACACTACAAATCTCAATTACGTAAGTGACAATGACAGCATTTCAAGTGCTATGTGTATTGTCATACTGTGACATTTTTTTTTACCAGTTGAGATCTAGCATGTCAAAACAAGAAAGTAAACTCTGATGACACACTTTGAAGTCATAGTGGAGTACAGATTATTTTTAATCAAATTAGATGTCAAAGTATTATGTTTATTATGTAATAGCACCACAGCTATGCCAGAAGAATACAGTATAGACAGACACTACCAACTAAGCACTCATCACAATAGCCTGACATGCCCTAGCTCCCTGCACTCACTCTCAATTTATGAGAGTAACAATCAAGAAAAATAGAAAACGTAAAACAAGGCATTTCATCACAGCAGAATTTCTTCCCAAAATAAAAAATGAAAATTAGGCTATAACCCAAGTAAGTTTCCAAATGGCTCATTTGTTAACCAATCAAGGAAAGTCATTTGCCATCGTGAGTTAAGCTAAATTGTGTTTGATTACAGAATCTAAAGAAATGTGTCCAGAGGAAATAAACATCTTTAAGACTTGTCTGTAAAAATAGCTGCTTGAAGAAAAGTGTGTATGGAACAATTATGGCCATGAATATTTCCCAAAAAAAGTTGAGAAAATACTAATTTAATATAATCTGAAGTAGAATTTGCTAAAATATATAACAACTGATGGTGGTAAAAATATGTGTGGAGCAGAAAAGACCTTAGCTGGACAAAGATACAAACCTCATGAAAATGCAAGGTGTTTAAAGCCTATTCATTGTCCATTGTATTATCGATTAGCAGGTGCTTTACATAAAATATCTGAATCTACTGTGTTACTGAACCAGTTACAATGGTTAACTTCATTGGCTCTCATGAACTTAATCAAGACCATGAAATTTTTGTCAGAAATAGCTGATTATCTTGATACGTCCTACTACACAACAATATGGCTTAGCAGTGATAGAGTTTTACTGAAATTTTTGAGCTCAGAGTTGAGACTGAAATTTTTCTGAACAAGAAGAAACCTCCTCAACCACATTATTGAATACTGAATAGCTTTGGAAATTAGTTTTTGCTGCAAATTCTATAATATTTCTCAATGAATTCAACCTAAAATCAGAAAGCCAAATAGCACTTACATGCAAACCTATACTGAAGTTTTTGTTGTCATTTCAAGGACTATTGACATTGTTTGAATCACAAATAATATCAAGCTGCTTTATATACTTCCTATGCTGTCAAAAGTTAAACTAAGATCCAAGATCTCTGAGAGCCCCACACAAGCATGCAGCAGATATGTTTTCCAGAATCAAACGATAGTTCCAGCAGCATTTTTCAGACCTCGATGCAAGTACAAAAGTACTTTCCACATTTCAAAAACCATTTAACTGTCCAACAAGAAGCTTCTGCCTACCCCTCAATTAGAAGAGATTATTCTACAATGGAATGATTTGTTAAAAGGTAAATATCAAGAAAGGAATCTAACAATTCTACAGATCTTCCAAGCAATAAAAATGCTCTACTAAAACCACATGTTCATGGATTGATATCAGTATCTGGCAGTACCTATCTGTGTAAGAAATTTTCAAAGATGAAATATATAAACTCTCATTACACATCAGCATTAAATATGAACATCAGTAATCAATCTTGATGACAAGGAATACTAACTTTAAATCCCAATTAAAATGTTATCCCCCTGCCAAAAAAAGAGATTTCATTCTTCAGCAAACTTTTATTACAAAAGTTTTTTTTTTATTCTCAATCATTATTAGCATTATATTTTGAATCCATCAATAAAAAATTTGTGGAAATTTTTTTCTCTCTTGTTATGTAATGTACCAACAACCTTCAATTCGCCACTTGGCCCACAAAACCTACTAAAATATTTATGATCTGGCCCTTAACACAAAATGTCTGCCAACTCTTGGCCTAGAAGAATAAACTGAGGCAAAGAAAGGTTAAATAACTAGCCTGAGATTACAGAGCTAGAAAGTGACACAGCAGGTTTCAAGCCTAGGCAAGCTGGGTACAGAAAGCACGCTCTTTAAACCACTATGCCACACTGCTTCCAGGAACCAAGAACAAGATGTTGTAAAAAAGAAATAATCGAAGAACAAGGACACCTGAAATTAAAAATAGGATAAAAAATTAAATAGAAAGGAGGTCAAGGAAACTCCCATAATAAAGAACAAGAAGACAAACAGATGGAAAACAGGAGACAGAAAACTGGAAGACCCATTTAGACAGTCTTAACAGTAACAGGAGTTCCAGAAAGAAAGCATGAAAAAAGAGGGGTGTTACGCAGTCAAGTTGGCAACTGAGATTCACCTTATGCTCCTACTAACAAACACATGAAGCCTCTGGGACAGGGACAAAAACAATTCACTGCTCACAGCAACAGCAGCAGCCAGAGTAACATCTTGCATCAGTTTCCTAGGCCCCAATCCCCATAGGTCTTTCAAAGTATTTGATAAAAATTGATAATATGTTCATGGAAAAATGGGTAAATGGGGTAGGGGGACAGGGAAACAAGGTAAATTACTCAGCTTGGCAGTGAGCAACTTTTATGTAGTCATAATAACGAAAAGACTGAACACTAAATTAACCAAGAATTCGTATATATCTGTACTGGAAAGGCTGGAAGAGGGGGAGGAGGTGGAAGAGCACCTCATCTACCATAAGGAGCAAATAAGTATAACCTAAAATTGATAAATCACAAAATAGCCATTAGACATAATTATAAAGACAGTTAAAAGCAGTGCCTTTGAGGACTAGACTAAAACGTATGGGTACTGCTGACTTTTTATAATGTTCTCTAGTATTCTCTCAATACGCAAGTATTACTTTAAAGAAATTAACTTTTAAATAAGTTGGAGAGAATGTGC